TTGCTAGAAATTCATTTAGCCCAGAGCTGCAAACTGACAGTCAGTTCAGGCCAGCTTGGCCCACGGTTGTTTTATTCAGGGTGCATAATTCCAAAAGTTTTGAATTCAGAAAGTCTGTATATTGGGTATGCAGTCCCCCATTTGCCATAGTCCACCAGACTCCAGGCTCTTACATGAGACTACTTCACTACTTTGTGTTGCCCACTTGGCCCTGAAGACATCTGAGCTTGAGACCTCGGTTTAGATCTGTGGTTTAAAAAAGTTTCTGAATTTCATGATTTGATAAAACTGTAAGTACTGTTGAATCATTTTAGCATATGCAGTTTTAGATTGTTTCTTATGAATGTAAATTTTAATGTGGTGCTTCCTTTTGTAAAGATCATTGAATTATTAACTCTGTAACTGAAATTTTAAAATCATTTCCAAATATTCTATATTCACAATAAAAGTCTATTTAAAAAATTACTTGTTATGTTTAAGAGGTTTTATTCTAAATACAGAAAACCCATGTCACATTTGATTAACATGGCCTAATTTGGGACTTCCCTGGCAGTCCAGTGGTTTAAGACTCTGCACTTCCACTGTAGGGGTCATCGGTCTCATCCCTGCCTGGGGAACTAAGATCCCACAAGCTGTGTGGCACAGCCAAAAAAAAAAGTCTTTAAAGAACATTCACAATGTAAAACTAAAAGGGACAAGAATTGACACACACCCCCATAATCATTTTAGTTAAAAAAAGTATAAAAATAAAACTAGCTTAACTGCTACTCTAAGGAAATGGCAGTCTACACCAGTATTCTTGCCTGGAGAATCCCCATGGGCAGAGGAGCCTGTCAGGCTGCAGTCCATGGGGTCGCAAAGAGTGGGACATGACTGAGTGACTAAGCATAGAAGAACTGATCAAAGAGTTAAGTTTGTTTAATGCAATCTGCTCCTAAAAATATTTTAGAAGTGTTATGACTAGACCATGCATTGTCCTGTAGGTTAGGTTAAGGATTTTGGTATTCATGCAAAGCTACAGAAAGCCATGAAGGGTTTTCTTCAGGGGGGATAAAGTGGGGGAGATGTGAAGTTGGTGGAGATTAAATATATGATTTCATGTGTTTTAAGAAATTCACTCTGGCTGCAGTGAAAAGAACTAGTTTTAGGGGGCTGCCAGTCCTTGCAGAGATAAGCTAGAAGGCTATTAAAGTGGCCCAGGTGAAGGATGATTATAGCTAAGATTATGACAGCAGTGGATGGATACAGAGAGAGCTGGATGGATTTCAGATGATGGATTGGTGATGAGTTGGAATGAGGTATAAGTGAGTGGTATAAGGTATAAGCCTTTCAAAGAGAGAACCCTGGAAGAAGACTAATGTGAGGGAAAGCATTTAGAACCTAGTCTGGCATATACAGGTTTTTGATGTCTAAAAAAATAGACAGTAGGATATATAAATCAGAGACTCAGCAGAGATTTGAACAAAAGGGAAGACAAAAAAAGATTGGAATCACCAGTGTTTATAGGGTAACTTATATAGGTATGGTTAATATTCTGAGGCACCTAGGGAAGAAAAAGGACAACGGTTCTCTTTTTGATCTTAGGAACCCTTTATACATTTAAGACGTGAAGGCCCTAGGGAGCTTTCGGTTAGGTGGATTACATTTATCAATATTACCACTTTACAAATTGAAACTAAATATTTTAAAATATTAATTTTAAAATAATAATAATAAACCAATACATGTTGTACTCAATTGTACAATTGCACTCATCTCACACGCTAGTAAAGTAATGCTCAAAATTCTCCAAGCCAGGCTTCAGCAATACATGAGCCATGAACTTCCAGATGTTCAAGCTGGTTTTAGAAAAAGCAGAGGAACCAGAGATCAAATTGCCAACATCCATTGGATCATCAAAAAAGCAAGAGAGTTCCAGAAAAACATCTATTTCTGCTTTATTGACTATGCCAAAACCTTTCACTGTGTGGCTCACAATAAACTGTGGAAAAATAAATTGTGAAAGAAATGGGAATACCAGACCACCTGACCTGTCTCTTGAGAAACCTATATGCAGGTCAGGAAGCAACAGAACTGAGCATAGAGCAACAGACTGGTTCCAAATAGGAAAAGGAGTACATCAAGGCTGTATATTGTCACCCTGCTTATTTAACTTATATGCAGAGTACATCATGAGAAACGCTGGGCTGGAAGAAGCACAAGCTGGAATCAAGAATGCCGGGAAAAATATCAATAACCTCAGATACGCAGATGGCACCACCCTTAAGGCACAAAGTGAAGAAGAACTAAAGAGCCTCTTGAGAGGGAAAAACTTGGCTTAAAGCTCAACAGTCAGAAAACTAAGATCATGGCATCTGGTCCCATCACTTCATGGCAAGTAGATGGGGAAACAGTGGAAACAGTGGCTGACTTTATTTTTCTGGGCTCCAAAATCACTACAGATGGTGATTGCAGCCATGAAATTAAAAGATGCTTACTCCTTGGAAGGAAAGTTATGACCAACCTAGACAGCATATTAAAAAGCAGAGACATTACTTTGCCAACAAAGGTCCCTCTAGTCAAGGCTATGGTTTTTCCAGTGGTCATGTATGGATGTGAGAATTGGATTATAAAGAAAGCTGAGCACAGAAGAATTGATGCTTTTGAACTGTGGTGTTGGAGAAGACTCTTGAGAGTCCCTTGGACTGCAAGGAGATCCAACCAGTCCATCCTAAAGGAGATCAGTCCTGGGTGTTCATTGGAAGGACTGATGAACCTGAAACTCCGATATTTTGGCCACCTGATGTGAAGAGCTGACTCACTGGAAAAGACCCTGATGCTGGGAAAGATTGAGGGTGGGAGGAGAAGGGGGAGACAGAGGATGAGATGGTTGGATGGCATCACCAACTCAGTGGACATGGGTTTGAGTGGACTCCAGGAGTTGGTGATGGACAGGGAGGCCTGGCGTGCTGTGGTTCATGGGGTTGCAAAGAGTCAGACACAAATGAGCGACTGAACTGAACTGAACTGAATACATGTTGTATTAGATTTCTAGGGTCGCTGTGAAAAATGTGACACAAACGACTGGCCTTAACCAACAGAAATTCTCTCGCAGTTCTGGAGGTTAGAAGGCCAAAGTCAAGGTATCCAGAGATCCGTGATCCCTCTGAAGTTTACAGTGAAAGATCTGCTACATGCCCCGCTCCTAGCTCCTGGTGGTAGAAGACAATTTGTAGCATTTCTTGGCCTGTAGATGCATGATTCCAATTCCAATTCTGCCTCCTTCCTCACATGGCATTCTCATATCTGTGTCCAAATTACCCTCTTCTTGTAAGGACATCAGTCATTGGATTAGGACCCACTCTAATCCAGTATGATCTAATTTTAACTTGATTGCATCTGCAAAGTTCTATTTCCTAAGATCATATTCAAGGTACTGGAGGTTAAGACTTGAACTTATCTTGGGACTTCCTTAGTGACCTAATGGTGAAGTATCTGCCTTGTAATGCAGAGGACACAGGTTTGATCCCTGGTCAGGGAAATAAGATCCCACATGTCCCAGAGCAGCTGAGTCTGTGTGTCACAAGTAGAGAGTCCGTGAAAGTGAAGGTCGCTCAGTTGTGTCTCTTTGGACCCCATGGACTATATATATATATATATATATATATATATATATATATATATATATATATATATACAGTCCACGGAATTCTCTAGGCCAGAATACTAGAATGGGTAGCCTTTCCCTTCTCCAGGGGATCTTTCCAACCCAGGGGTTGAACCCAGGTCTCCCACATTGCAGGTGGATTCTTTACCAGCTGAGCTACAAGGGAAGCTATGAGAGAGTCCGTGCACCCCAACAATAGATCTCACATGACATAATGAAGAGCCCACAAGCTGCAACTAAGACTAGATGCAGTCAAATATTAATAAAATACTTTTAAAGACTGGAACACCCATGAATGTTAACATAACAGTTTTAATAAAAAGTAACTTGTTTTCCAATACCCCCAAAAAATATTTTTAGTGAGTAGTGTAGCATTATTTTGTGAAACTTTTAAATATCTAACTTTACAAAAGAAAGCTGGACTGCCATATCTGCTTATGCATTTCATCTGTTCTGAAAGTTAAAAGGGTGTGAAGAAAATCTGGTTGAAAGAAGGAAAAGTGTTTTCCTTTTTAGATAATTGAGGATATTCCTCCTTGGTTCCACACCCAAATACCACAAGTGATAGTTTCTTAAACAATGAAATGTTGTTTCTCAAACCATATTAACTTTTCATTCTCGGATTCATTAAAAACCATTGTTTTGTATCCTGGAACAGAGAAAGGACATTAGTGGGAAATGTGCTGAAATATGAATAGTCTGTAATTTAGTTAATAGTGTTTCGCCAGTGTTTCTTAGTTTTGACAAATGAAACACAATTACATTGATATTTTAGCTGTAGCTCAATGAAAGTCATTTGGGAAATCTTGCTACTTCCTTTCAGTTCAGTTCAGTTCAGTCGCTCAGTTGTGTCTGACTCTTTGCGACCCCATGGACCACAGCACGCCAGGCCTCCCTGTCCATCACCAACTCCTGGAGTTTACCCAAACTCATGTCCACTGAGTCGGTGATGCCATCCAACCATCGCATCCTCTGTCTCCCCCTTCTCCTCCCACCCTCAATCTTTCCCAGCATCAGGGTCTTTTCCAATGAGTCAGCTCTTTGCATCAGGTGGCCAAAGTATTGGAGTTTCAGCTTCAACATCAGTCCTTCCAATGAACACCCAGGACTGATCTCCTTTAGGATGGACTGGTTGGATCTCCTTGCAGTCTAAGGAACTCTCAAGAGTCTTCTCCAGACAGGTTTGGAGACACAGGTAAAGGGAGGGAGACCGAAAGGAATACTTGTAGAGCCAGCAGAAGAGCTGGGCAGCTCCTTCCCGGACGCTGGGGACCCTCTACCTCTCTCCAGATGGAAAGGTGACATGACTTTGTGGTAGACGTGAGAAGTGAGACGTGAGAAGTCGGGTCCCAGGATGACAGAACCCGAGACCCTGGCCCTGCTGGAAGTGAAGTGGCCTGAGGCCCTGGAGAAGAGCCCACCCCAGGCCTTGGTCCCCAATGGCCAGAAGCTGGAAGGGGAAGATGGGGTTGAGTCCCTTGGAGTTGAGTCCTCTAGAGTGGGGTCTTCGGCTGAGTCTCCCACAGCCAGAGAGGGGACCGAGGATGGTCTAGACAGCACAGTAAGTGAGGCTGCCACTTTGCAGCCTGGGCCCCCAGCCCAGTGCCCCGTTCCCAGATCCCCCTGGCTGGAGGAACATTGAGCCTGAGCCCCCTGAGTCAGAGCCACCCACAAAACTAGAGGAGTTGCCCGAAGATGAAGCCAGCCTGCTGCCCGAGAAGGCAGCCCGGGCCTTCGTGCCCATCGACCTACAGTGCATTGAGCGGCAGCCCCAGGAGGACCTCGTTGTGTGCTGTGAGGCCAGCGAGAGCAAGCACCGCGGACCTTCCTGCCTTCCCAGGCCACCCACCCTGAGCCCCCGGAGTGCAAGTGGGCTGAAGCAGTGGTGAAGCCGCCTGGCCACTCCTGTGGGGGCTGTGGGGGCTGTGGGGGTCGAGAGGTGCTGAGAGCCGTGGCCTCGGTGGGAGCCACCCTCATCCTCTTCCCCTGCCTGCTCTACGGGACATATGCCTTCCTGCCCTTCGATGCCCCACGCCTGCCGACCATGAGCTCCCGCCTCCTCTACACCTTGCGCTGTGGGGTCTTCGCCACCTTCCCCATTGTACTGGGGATCCTGGTGTACGGGCTGAGCCTGTTGTGCTTTTCTGCCCTTCGACCCTTTGGGGAGCCACGGCGGGAGGTGGAGATCCATCGGCGGTATGTGGCCCATTCGGTCCAGCTCTTCATCCTCTACTTCTTCAACCTGGCCGTGCTTTCCACCTACCTGCCTCAAGATACCCTCAAACTGCTCCCTCTACTCACTGGTCTCTTTGCCATCTCCCGGCTCATATACTGGCTGACCTTCGCTGTGGGCCGCTCCTTCCGAGGCTTTGGCTACGGCCTGACGTTCCTGCCCCTGCTGTCCATGCTGATGTGGAACTTCTACTACATGTTCGTGGTGGAACCTGAACGCATGCTCACTGCCTCTGAGAGCCGCCTGGACTGCCCTGACCATGCCCGCTCAGCCTCAGACTACAGGCCCCGCTCCCGGGGCTGAGCTGCCCCGCCCGCTCTGTTCCTGGGCGGGATGAACCCACCTACTGCCCCGACAGGGGTGCCATCCAATCAGAGCCTGGGGTGCTCCCCTTCACCTTAGGAGCCTGGGACAATTATGTGGGAGGGACTTAAACAGTCTTTCAGGGAAAGAGGTGGACAGCCGTGTTCCTTAAGAATGCTGAGGACACGGGAGCAGGGGCAGAGGCATGGTTCCTTCCTTAGCAGCCTCTGAGCACTGCCACAGGGCCCACAAAGGCTGGACTCTGCTCCCCACTCTGCAGCCTCCGGCCAGAGGCAGCTGGTAGAGCACAGCCAAAACTCTGACCATTTCTGTGCTGGGTGTCTGGGCTTCCAAGAGACTGGAAACATGCCTATGCCTTAGGTAAAGGCTGGGCATCAGATCAAATAGGACTTTCCTATTTGGTGAAAAACCTTCTGGGCACCTGGGCTCAGGACCCTCCATGACTGGCCTTTGTAGGCCCTTTAGCCTCAGCTAAGTCCATTACAGCTGCTCTAGCCCAGAGTGGCTGACTCCTGTCTTCCAACCCTTTAGGTCCCTGTAACTTTGCACCTCCAAAGTGCCCAGTCATACCTCTCCTGTGGGAAGAGGCGCAGACAGGGAAACCTGCTTCCTAAGAGGTGTGTGTGTGTGTGTGTGTGTGCATGCATGCCCACACACGTGGTGGCTGGGAGTGGTTGGAAGTCATGGTGGTTGATGTTAACCCCGTCTGAATGTGTATGTAATAATAAATGATTAACACCACACACACACACACACAAAGAGTCTTCTCCAATACCACAGTTTAAAAGCATTCTTCTGCGCTCAGCTTTCTTTATAATCCAATTCTCACATCCATACATGACCACTGGAAAAACCATAGCCTTGACTAGAGGGACCTTTGTTGGCAAAGTAATGTCTCTGCTTTTTAATATGCTGTCTAGGTTGGTCATAACTTTCCTTCCAAGGAGTAAGCATCTTTTAACTTCATGGCTGCAATCACCATCTGTAGTGATTTTGGAGCCCAGAAAAATAAAGTCAGCCACTGTTTCCACTGTTTCCCCATCTACTTGCCATGAAGTGATGGGACCAGATGCCATGATCTTAGTTTTCTGACTGTTGAGCTTTAAGCCAAGTTTTTCCCTCTCAAGAGGCTCTTTAGTTTTTCTTCACTTTGTGCCTTAAGGGTGGTGCCATCTGCATATCTGAGGTTATTGATATTTTTCCCGGCATTCTTGATTCCAGCTTGTGCTTCTTCCAGCCCAGCATTTCTCATGATGTACTCTGCATATAAGTTAAATAAGCAGGGTGACAATATACAGCCTTGATGTACTCCTTTTCCTATTTGGAACCAATCTGTTGTTCCGTGTCCAGTTCTAACTGTTGCTTCCTGACCTGCATATAGATTTCTCCAGAGGCAGGTCAGGTGGTCTGGTATTCCCATCTCTTTCAGAATTTTCCACAGTTTATTGTGATCTACACAGTCAAAGGCTTTGGTATAGCACTTCTATAAATTTCAAGTTGTTTTACACTAAAAAAGTTTCTTTAAAATGGATGCTCATATTAACACATTTATTAATATTTTGCAATTTTAAAACTATTTTCACTTATCTTTCAATATCATAACAAATGAGTTGAAAATAATGGCTAGAATTACCATGCCCTCTTTAGTGTGTTAGTTTCTCAGTCATATCTGACTCTTTGCAATCTTGTGGACTATAGCTTGCCAGGCTCCTTGTCCATGGTGATTCTCCAGGCAAGAATACAAGAGTGAGTTGCCATTTCCTTCTCCAGAGAATCTTCCTGATTGAGGAGACTCCATGGGCTCCCAAATAGTCTTACACAACTGAGCAACTGAACAACCATAATAAGGACTCTAATCTTTTCTTTCTGTAACCCCCAGAGCTTACTTTTATCTTATCCTTATCTCATTACATTTAAGTATTCAACTCTCTGTGCTCCACCCTCTCCAAACCCAGTCTGTAAAACAGGCAGGTCTGATTCATTTTTTATGCAGGCAGTTCCTGGCATAGTTCAAGGACTACCAGCTGGTTCATTAAAGTTTGCAAAATGATTCCGAGTGCAGTGCTCTTTTCTGTGTACCAGATTGTAATTTTAAACCACAATTGACCCTTGAAACTCAGGGGTTAAGTTAGGAGCTTTGACCCTCTGCAAAGCAGGAAATCTTCCTGTAATTTATAGCCAGCCCCACATTAGGTGTACTTGATTCCAAAGTATTCCCTGCTCAGCATTCCTATATTCTACCAACACTGCTTTGGTCCTGCAGTGCTGTGGTGTTTATTACTTTTTTAAAAGTCCAGGTATTTTTGGACCCAAGCAGTTCAACCCCCAATTGTCCAGAAGTCAACTGTATATTAGATTCAGCAGCTGAGGAGAGAGGGAAGCCATGGCCTTGGTGGAAGATCCTGTTCTTTGGTGAGAACTGCCATCTTTTAGGGATACTTTCCCAGGCTCAAGTTAGAAGTGAGACATCCAAGGATCACTCTAACAGTAAAGGAGCACCAAGGTGTAAAGTGAGAAGCACTGAGACAGGCGTAAAACAATAGACACAGTGCTTCCAGAGTAGCAGCTGGTCTTCATCCTGCTGCACCTCCAGCTGTGACCCCAGCACTAGCAGCAGCTCAAGGGCCAGGGAAAGTTTCAGCAAGTCAGTCCATCCAGCACCTCCAGCTCCCAGCAGCTCCTGTGGCACTTAAGTCTCTCTCACATGACGCACATGTGCCAAAAGGTAGTGTTCCTGCTTCCCATGCAAACCACCTAAAAGAGAGGAAAAATGAAAAAAGCAGAGACCTTTCCTGAAGCCCCACAAAGTGCATATTGGGAAGCTGATGAAGGATGTGATGAAGGATCTTGTCATGGAGATATTCTCCATCTGTGGGGAAATTTAAATGACTGACACCCTTGGACGAAGTAAGCATCTCGATCTACCGGCAGGCCCCATGGTAGAGTTTGAGAATCCCTTTGGAGGTAAGAAGGCCCTGAAGCGTGCAGACAGAGGATACACTGGTGACCAGGGGATCCCCATCACTGCTGTGCTGGCCCCTGAGTCAGGCTGCCCCCCACCTTCTCCACCCCAGACGGTGGGGATGCCGCCACTGGCCCCCTGGTGGCTCAGTCCCCGCTTCCCCCGCCACGCCACAGAAGCCGCCCCAGCTCCAATTCCTTTGGATAAGCGGGGCCACCCGAGTCCTGCTACTTGTGACTTATACCCCACGCAACTGGTTTTGTCACTTTTCTAGCGAAGGAGAAGAGATCGGAAAGAAACGCTCTCAGAGGCAGGCTTCTAAGGCAGCAGTTGAGACCTCCAGTGAAGGTTGAGTTCTGGCTACAGGAGTGCTCCTGGTTTGGGGTTAGACCTCCAGTTTCCTGGCTAGAAAACTCACACCTTTGCAGATCCTGTGACACAGTTGGTTCAGTGGCAAAGCTAGCGGGGACAAATAGGACTCCAGGTGACAGTATGGCCCCTGCCTGTGTGTGCGTGCTTAGTCGCCTCAGTTGTGTCCAACTCTTTGCAACCCCATGGACTGTAGGCTGCCAGGCTCCTCTGTCCATGGGACTCTCCAGGCAAGAATACCAGAGCGGGTTACCATGCCCTCCTCCAGTCTGGGTGTACATTTTTCCTTTCCATAGATGACCTGGGGCCAGACTAGGGGCCTGGTCATGCTTGTTACCCTGAGAGATCCTTCAGGAAAAGGAGGGGAGCTTTAGTGCAGCACCGTTTTCTGTTCGGCATGGTCCCTGCTGCCCTAGGGCCAAACATTAAAAGAAAAGCCTCCTTCCCTCTGTTACTGCATTAGTTGGTTCTGTTTTTACATGTATTCGCGCAGTTATACGCACATCTTATAATTCCCTTTCTCTCTCTGAAATTAGTGAACAGGTCGCGAGCCAGCTCTGTAGAATTCTTATGGACACCACTGCAGCTGATATACACGGTGGGCCTGCAGGTTACCTTGGCAGCATGTACATTCTTTTGGCTTTTATTGTATAGTCAGTACAATAGGAGCGAGGGACTGGAGGGTGAATTCATTACCAATGGCAAATGATTTAATCAACCATGGCTAAGTGATGAAACTTTCAGAAAAACCTGTGAGCAGTGGGATTTAGAGAGCTTCTGGGTAGGTGAACACATCAAGGTGCTGTGAAAGGGACGGTGGGTGTGACATGCTTGGAGAGAGCAGGGAATCTCAGTTCCTGCTCCCCCATACGTTGCCCTGTGCATCTCTTTCATCTGGCTGTTCCAGAGTTGTATCCTTCATGATAAATGAATAAATGTAAATAAATGTCTCCCTGAGTTGTATGAGCCGTTCGAATGCATTATCAAACCTAAAGAGTTTGTGGGAACCTCTGATTTGTAATTGGCTGGGCAAAAGTGTGGGTGCCCTGTTTGTTGCTGATGCCTAAATTGAGGGCAGGGGAGTTTGGGGGAGAATGAATACATATATGTGTATGGTTGAGTCCCTTTGCTGTCCACCTGAAACTACCACAACATTGTTAATCGACCACGCGCCAATGCAAAATAAAAAGTTTAAAAAAAAGAAAAACATGATAAAAACTAAAGTGAGGGCAGACTTATGGGACTGGGTGTTTTAACTTCTGAAGTAGGTCATGTTAGAACTGAACTGAATTGTTGGACACCCAGGTGGTGTAGGAGAGTCAGGAAATAGAATTGGTGGGTGGTGTCAGAAAACACTCCAGATCTACATCAAAATCTGTTCCAAATAGTCATCTGTAAATGCTGTTCTGTAACGAAATTTTACATATTTCAACTTTAAAAGCAACTTTTCATGCAGATACATGCTGCCAAACAACTGATATCCATTTAAAGCGAATGCTTTTAATTAAACATATTCATCATCCTTAGAAGCCATTTATAGCATTTGATTAGATTCTACTCTCTGGATGTCTGCCTTTTAGCAATAGTACAAAGTGGTGAAAGCACCACATATGGTCTCTGTCACAAGTACTCAACTCTACCATTGTAGTGCAAAGGCAGCCACAGACAGTACATAAATGAATGAGTATGCTGCATCCCAATAAAACTTATTTATGGAACCGGAATTTAAATTTCATATAGTTTTTAAGTACCACAAAAAACTTCTTCCCTTTACTTTTTAATACTAAAAGATGTAATAACAAGTTAAGAGGGACATTAAGATTCAGGCCTTTAGGCTGAAAGATCTAGCTAGAAAAGGTGTTGAGGCCAGAAGGAGCTAGATTTTTATTCTGAAAAGCTGTTCAATTATACAATTGACTTTATGGTTTTGGTTTTCTTGGAGGAGGAACCTCGACAAGATGTCTAAGGTCCAACATTTTTAAAGCTTGCATCAAATATATTCTAGACTTCTAAATTTCGTGCAATATGCTATTATTACATTGATGTAATAATCCAAGCTAATCCAAGCTAATAGCTATTGACCCCAGCCATTATCATATTTAAAAGTGAATTTATGGCTTCTCAGCCTTCTGGCTAAGATCAAGTGTAGTATCTGTTCTTATCAATTTAATATCTGATACATCCTCTATCTGAGAACAATATATTAAATGGATTTTTGAAGCAGAGAGTTGGAATAGGAACTTGCTCTGTTCACAACCTGATATTGCAGTGCTTCCAGAAACGGTGCACCCCCCTCGGGGACAATTTTTAAAGTACCAAAATGCAGAAACTGGCCCTTTCCTGTCCTGGAGTGGGGTTTTCATTGTAAGCTGTCTGCAGGCTAGCTCAGGAAGTTGACTTTCTCAGGTTTCCCTGCATTACTTGTGAGCATTCCTGACAGTTGCTGGAAGACAAGCAAATAACTGAGTCTGGTGGGGTGGGGGATGGGGTGGGGGGAGGGGGAGGAAAGTGAATGGAGAGTTTAAAAGTTAGGCTTATTAAGTCTAGAGGTCTAACATACAACATAATGACTACAGTTCCTAACATTGTTATCAGGGCTTCCCTGGTGATCTAGGGGCAAAGACTCGGCTTTCAAAGCAGGGAGCCGGGGTTCAATCCCCGGTCAGGGAACTACATCCCATATGCCACAACTAAGAGTTCCCCATGCTGCAGCTAAAATTCCTGCATGGACAGTCTTTTTTTTTTTTTTTTTTTAATATTAAAACACTTTTTAATTTTTTTTTTTGAGGATTTTTTTTCCATTTATTTTTATTAGTTGGAGGCTAATTACTTTACAACATTGCAGTGGTTTTTGTCATACATTGAAATGAATTAGCCATGGATTTACATGTATTCCCCATCCCGGTTCCCCCTCCCACCTCCCTCTCTACCCGATCCCTCTGGGTCTTCCCAGTGCACCAGCCCCGAGCACTTGTCTCATGCATCCAACCTGGGCTGGTGATCTGTTTCACCCTAGATAATATACATGTTTCGATGCTGTTCTCTTGAAACATCCCACCCTCGCCTTCTCCCACAGAGTCCACAAGTCTGTTCTATACATCTGAGTCTCTTTTTCTGTTTTGCATATAGGGTTATTGTTAACCATCTTTCTAAATTCCATATATATGTGTTAGTATACTGTAATGGTCTTTATCTTTCTGGCTTACTTCACTCTCTATAATGGGCTCCAGTTTCATCCATCTCATTAGAACTGATTCAAATGAATTCTTTTTAATGGCTGAGTAATATTCCATGGTGTATATGTACCACAGCTTCCTCATCCATTCGTCTGCTGATGGGCATCTAGGTTGCTTCCATGTCCTGGCTATTATAAACAGTGCTGCGATGAACATTGGGGTGCACGTGTCTCTTTCAGATCTGGTTTCCATAGAGAGTCGCCGGGGTTTCCTGCACCAACAGTGCTTGAAGGGAACCCGGTAGCTCCTCCCTCGCCTGCTCGTCCCGCCCCAGCCGGCCACTCAGAGCCAGCCCTCCTCTCCGCCTGAGAGCGCCCTCCAACCGGCCCAAGGTCCCCGCCGCCGCTCTGGGGCTGCGGAGCTGCCACCACCACCGCCGCTCCTCAGCCGCCAGCGATGGCGGCCGCATCCCCGTCGCAGGTGCGCCCGAGCTACCACCAGGACTGGAGGCCGCCATCAACCGCCAGACCAACGTGGAGCTCTTCGCCTCCTGTGTCTACCTGTGCCTGTCATACTATCTTGACCGCGATGATGTGGCTTTGAAGAACTTTGCCAAACACTTTCTTCACTGATCTCATGAGGAGAGGGAATATGCTGAGAAACTGATGAAACTGTCGAACCGACGAGATGGCGGAATCTTCCTTCAGGATATCAAGAAACCAGACCATGATGACTGGGAGAAGGGGTTGAATGCAATGGAATGTGCACCATGTTTGGAAAGAAGTGTGAATCAGTCACTACTGGAACTGCACAAACTGGCCACTGAAAAAAATGACCCCCATCTGTGTGAGTCCACTGAGGCTCATTACCTGAAGAGGCAGGTGGAAGCCATCAAAGAATTGGATGACCACAAAACCAATCTGCACAAGATGGGGGCCCCTGGATCTGGCATGGCAGAGTACCTCTTTGACAAGCACACCCTGGGACGCATTGAGAGCTAAGCCTCAGACTGGCTCCCCGTAGCCACAGGGGTGACTTCCCTGGTCACCAAGGCGGTACATGCATATTTGGGTTATATTCATCCTTTCTATTAGTTGTACCAAAACATCTACTTAAGTTCTTTCTTTAGTACCATTCCTTCAAATAAGCTAACTTGGTACCAAAACAAACAAAATATCTTGCTTGCCACAGCTAAGACCTGGCACAGCCAAAAAAAAAAAAAAAAGGATATTAAAAAAAAAAAACACTATCAAATACTGGAAATTTGCTAAGAGCAGAAATTTTAAGTGCTATCATCATAAAAAAAAATATGGTAACTATGTGAGGGAAAACTATGTCAATTAGCTTGACTGCAGTGTCATTTTGCTATGCTTATGTATATCAGACCATCATACTGTATACCTTAAATATGTACAATTTTATTTTTTAAAAATATCCAAAGATTAAAAAAAAAAGGAACAAAAAAGAGGGAAAAAATGTAAAAGCCAGTCAGTATTCTGTAATAACCCACATGGGAGAAGAATCTAAGAATATGTGTAGCTGAATCACTTTGCTGTATACCTGAAACTAACACAATGTTGTAAATCAACTATATGCCAATAGAAAATAAAAATCAAGTTAAAATTTTAAAATGTAAAACTACTCTTACACTGCACCTGTACAAAATAAGTGGTGGACAGGATTTGATCCAGAGGTTACAGTTAGCCAAGTCCTGATCAAGATAATCCATAAATCCCTTCTGTATAGGCAAATCTTTTTTTAAAAATATTATTTATATATTTATTTATCTTTGGTTTGCACTGAGTCTTCTTTGTTTTGTGTGGGCTTCCTCTAGTTGCAGCATGGGCTTCTCACTTTGGCGGCTTCTCTTGTTACCGAGCACAGATTCTAGACACATGGGCTTCAGTAGTCACAGCATTCAGGCTCAGTAGTTATGGGCACACAGGCTTAGTTGCTCCACAGCATGTGGAATCTTCCTGGATTAGGAATTGAAACCATGTCCCCTGCATTGGCAGGCGGATTCTTATCCACTGTACTACCAGGGAAGTCCTTGATAGGCAAATTTTGATGGAAAGACAGGTTTGGTCATCATAGACTCAAGAGCAATGGAGAGTTAAGAGTTAGGAGGTATCTTCATGCCCGTGTACTTTATGGTTGACAGATATGTCTATCACAACTTTGAGATGTTCAAATTCAAAAATACTCTCATTGCAAGAAATACTAGTAGGAATTCCCTGGTTGGTGGTTAGGACTTTGCACTGCCACTGCAGGAGACACAGGTTCTATCCCCGACCTGCCCCATGGCACGCCCCTCCCCCCCGCAACACACACACACACAAAAACCAAACTAATGCTGCTATGAACATTTGGTTCATGTTTTTTGGTGCACCAGTTACTGTTGGGTATATACATAGGAGTAAAACCCCTGGGTCAGAGATATGTTCAAGTTCAACCATACTACATACTGGCAAACAGATTTCCAAAATGGTTGTGCTAATTTATATTACTACTGTATAAAAGTTCTCATTAATCCCCATCCTCATCAATAATTTTGAAAGTGTCAGGCCTTTTTGTAGCCACACTGATGGGTTATAGTGGTTTTAACTTGTATCTTCTTGACTTCTTTCTTTCTTTTTTCTGCCATGCCACAAAGCTCTTGAGATCTTAGTTCCACAACCAGGGATCAACTAGTGACCCCTGCAGTGGAAACCTGGAGTCCTAGCCACTAAATTACCTGGGAATTCCCATGCTTTCCCCTAATTTCTAATGAGGTTGAACCTGATTTTCATGTTTATTCCTCATGTTTTGATTCTCTCCGATTTTACACTCAGTCAATTCTGAAAAATTTCTCTGACTTACACACTAAGGATACAAAGAAGATGAGGCAAAGTGTCTATACCCACACTCCTATCTCAGCCCCTATCAGTTATTCTAGGGAGAAATTTAGAACTTGATTTTTTTCTTTATCTTACTTTGAACAGCTATTAGATCAGCAAGTCCTGTTTCCAAAATGAATCTTAAGTCACTCTTAAGTCAGTCTTAAGTCTCCTGCCATTTGTGCTCCCACAACTTGAATCCAGACCAATGTTTCATTCCTGGACTGCCACAGTCACTTCTTTTTATGACCTTTTGGCTTTTGCCACCGCCCATCTCCCTTAATTTTCCATATTGTAGCAATTATTTTCAATGATATAAACATTTTGGTGGCTTCCTATTACTCTGAGAATAAAATTCAAACCCTACCAATTATAGCTTCCCTGGTGGTTCAGATGGAAAAGAATCTGCCTGCAATGCAGGAGACTCAGGTTCAATCCCTGGGTCAGGAAGAGCCCCTGGAAAAAGGAATGGCAACTCATTCTAGTATTCTTGCCTGGAGAATTCCATGGACAGAGGAGCCTGGACGGCTACAGTCCATGGGGTCACAACAGGTCAGACCTGACTGAACAAACACTTTCACTTTCACCACCTCTGGAAGCTGCAGGTTTGTCTTAGGCTGTCTCTCCAATCTCTGCAACTTTGTTTATTGTGTCCTAGCTACAGTCCTCTTACCAGGCCTTGGTAAAAACACACCCTCTTCAATCATCTTCTTTCAATCCTTAACACCAAACTTCTTTCATTTTAACGAAATACTTGTCCCAGAGCCTGCTTCTTCTCATCCTTTAATTCTCAGTTAAATTTTACCTTCTTTGTTTCCTTCATAACATTTATCAATAATCTGTAATTACTGAGTTTGTTCGCCTTTGTTAGTTTCCTCTAATAATAATCATTATAATAGCAATGAAACAGGAGGGAAGGAAGGCAGGGCATAACATTTAAAAGAATGATATAGCCCAAGGACATGACATAAACTGATTAGAACAAAATAGGTTCAAGAAGGCAGATGAGTCATCTTCCACTAAACCTTGAGCTGCAGCATAGGCTCATGGTAACACATCAGCAAGCTAAATGAAACACCCACAGGCACCATGACAGTTCCCAGGTGGACCATAAGTGAAACAGGAGGGAAGAGGGCAGGGCACAACAGCCTGAGGACACAACATAAACCAATTAAAATTAAATGATGCTGAAGCTGAAGCTCCAATACTTTTGGCCACCTAATGCGAAGAAGTAACTCATTGGAAAAGACCCTGATGCTGGCAAAGATTGAAGGCAGGAGGAGAAGTGGATGACAGAGGATGAGATGGTTGGATGGCATCACCAACTCAATAGACAGGAGTTTGAGCAAGCTCTGGAGTTGGTGAAGGACAGGGGCGCCTGGTGTGCTGCAGTCCATGGGGTTGCAAAGAGTCAGACACGAGAGTGACTGAATAACAACTGTTAGGAAGTGGCAGAGCTGCTATTTGAACCCAGATGACTGAACAACAACAATCTAGTTATGGGCTTTCCAGGGGTGCTGGTTGTAAAGAAACCGCCTGCCAATACAGGAGGCGGAGGAGACACAGGTCCAATCCCTGGGTTGAGAAGATTCCCCTGGAGGGCATGGCAACCCACTGCAGTATTCTTCCCTGGAGAATCTCATGGACAGAGGAGCCTTGTGGGCTACAGTCCATAGGGTCACAAATAGTCAGACATGACTGAAGCAACTGAGCAAGCAATCTAGTTTCATTTTAACCAGCACCACTGTCATTTTCTTTTTTTTTTTAACTGTAGGTTACAATCTGTATGTACCTGTGTCAAGAAATTTAGGGCTTCTTGAAAAAATTAAAATGGAATAGAATAAATCCTTACTCATTTAGTAAGGATAAGTACTGGTTTTGAAGCTTTTGACTCACTTATACACACACACACATCTATATACAGTCACAAGCTGTGAAAGCTACTGTACTATGCATTCTGCCTTTCTGTATAAGTTTCAGAACTGACCGGTGACCAGGTTCACCAGGGTATTCCCAGGGTCTAGCCCAGCCACTGGACCATAGTAAGCACCCAGTGCATATTTATTAATTTGCCAATAATAAACTATGATAAATATTAAGAAGGTGATAAAAACTTTTCCTTAATTTCTCTACAAAGTTTACTTCTCCTTATGCCAACCACTGATTTGAACTTAAATTTGTGCCAGTATTCATAAAGCTATACTAATATTAAATCTAACTGGACAGTATGAAGAATTCAGAAGGGTTATTAATCTGTTGTATACCGTACTATTTGAAAATCTGTTCTTTGAAAACTGGAAGAGAAAAAGGTATGCTTACTTGAGCTTATACTTCTAAAACACTTTTTAAAAGATTAAGTATTACTTAACTATTATTTGTGTTATCTCAAGTTATTGTAAAAGCATAAAGAGTAAATAGTGTGGCAGAAAAGGCAGACAGTTGTTGAGTGTCAAGCCTAGGCATTACTGCCTGAGAGTTTTCAAGCAAGACACTTAAACTTTTGAAAGTTCGTATTTTGTTCAGTTCAGTCACTCAGTCATGTTTGACTCTTTGCGACCCCATGAACTGCAGCACACCAGGCTTCCCTGTCCATCACCAACTCCA